TGCTCCTGCTGTAACATACTCTGCTGAGCAGGACTGCTCGTGCATTAACAACTTCTTGCAAGAATTCGCAGGCTCAAAACATAATCAGGGTGACCCATTTTATGCATTTAGGCAATTTTCAGACTGTACTAAACAGTGTGGGAATACACCACGTATCAAGCTTGTTCCGAACATTGGGTGGGGGAAATGTTTTTCTTGTTTCTTTTGGAGGTTTTGTTGTTGTTGTTGTTCTTTAAAACAAAAACTCTATGCCATTCCATACAGATAGCTAAAACAGGGTTGCTAATGCCATGGCATTTTGGAAATGGTGCCTGTTATTTTAAGGCTTGTTTGATAAATTGCCATCATTAAGAACTTTGAAATGACTGGGTCTAATGCAGCCACGCAGGTAAATCAGAGCAGCATGATGCCTGCCCTTGGCTCTTGTTAAGAAAAGGCTGCAGCCCAACTCAGGCACATGTAACAGAACAGACTGACTGCTGCTGCATCACTACCATGCAGGATGGAAAAGGAGCAAAGGACAGTACAGCAGAGCAGAGACAGCATACATGCATAATGGGAAATGCTTTTTACTTATCTGTGCAGTAGCATGCAAACTTTTTCACCTCTGCCTTCCCAAGGAAACAGAATTTGAGTCTTAGAAACCACGTAATCAGTGACTCAGTTTGAAATCAAATTAATGATAATATTATCAAAATAAATCTCTCTTGGATACAGAGATAGCTAATAACATACACACAGTTCATACTTGAAACAAACTTGGAGAAATGCTCTATATTTACCCAATGCTTAACTCCAAAGGTACAGGATGAAGACACACACCACATTTTGGTTACATTGAGCACAGCAAACACCACTTAGCTTCATCTCCAACTTTAGATCAGCATTGCTGCCCTGCACAACCTTACAGTCAGTAAAGGGAGAAACGTGTTTTCAAGAGAGATGCAACATCAAAGCCCTCGAACAGACAATTCCTCTTTTATTTCTGCAAAGAACTTCACTGAAGAACGTTACAGAATCACAGAATGGCCAGGGTTGGAAGGGACCTCAAGGATCATGAATCTCCATCTCCCCTGCCACATGCAGGGCCACCAACCTCTACATTTAATGCTAGACCAGGCTGCCCAGGGCCCCATCCAACCCAGCCTCGTGAACTACAGAGGAGCCGGATGGCCTTCAAGTGTTCCTTCCAACTCAAACGTTTCTATGATGCTATAAAATTGCAGTTGAAGATGCTCGTATTATTATTCACCCAGTCCAGACCATACACTTTGCATCACTATGGGCTGGGTGTATCTATTGGTGTCCACTTATGATAACTTGAAAAAGCAATAACACTTTTATTTTCTGGGCACAGTACTAAAGAAGAGGCAAGCAGCCTCCACCCCAGGGCAGGAAAACACATCAACACAGCAAGGAGAGGCTGTGTGGGTGAGGAGTTTCACTGCTGCCAGTGGGAGCTCAGAACAGAAAAAAGCTGTCACTCTCCTTTCTCCTCCTTCCCACCCTAAGACTTAATTCCCAGCTGCACCTTGCTTATGTGGCAAACGTTGATGGATGAAGTTTAGACATGGGACTTAGCAAATCCACATAAGGAAGGTTTGCAATGTGGGTTCACAACACTTGTCTTGACCAAATTTTAGAATGTGCAAGATTATTTTTTTTCCCCTTTTAGTATTTGTCACATAGTTTGAGTGGACTCTTAGTAGATTGTGGAAATATACATTTTCTTTGCTTATTAAGTAGAATCAAAGGCTTACTGAATTAATACACAACCCATCATTAGATTTACATTTTCTTCTTCTACAGCCTGATCTCCTCTAATATTTAAGATTGCTGGGGTCCAGAAAACCCATATCTACCAGAAGCCTTTGCAGGTAGTTATGTTAGTCAGGTACTGAACAGATGAAATAGATAAAGAACTCTCTTTAAATGGAATTCAAGTGTGACAGAACAGAACACTTTGTCTCTGGTATTTATGATTTTACTATCACATCTATAAGGAGAAAATACACTTTATAGACCAGATGTTTCTGGAAGAATTCATCACTGTCAAAGCAGCACTCCTGCCTTCAGGAATTTCAGAATGGCAGCTGAAAAGGTGTCCTATTTCCTATGTTTTTAATATAATATTAAAATATTGTGTTTGATTTGCTCTTAATTACAAGAGGTAAGGATGTAATTTACTTAATGAGACAAGGCTAAATATAGCAGAAAGGGGTACTATAAAACCTAATGAAATTTTGCAGCTGCTTTTATTTAGGGAAATAATAAATTCTAGCCAAGAAGCTGAAGGATTGAAAGGGGAAGCAAATTCTCATCACATGCCTGAAGATTGAACGGCTATTCACCAGGGTACTAATAATCTTCAGAGCCAATAGCTCAAGATCTCATTAAAGCACAGAATAGATTAGGGATATTAAAACACTCAGGTCTGGCTGGTTGCTCAGACATGCAGCATCTCACTAAGTGTGAAATTTCACTTAGTTCTACTCTAGCTTTTTGTCCAGTTTTACCTAAGTGCTTTTCAACTGGGAAAGCGGCCTATGAACTTCTGTACTGCCTATTTCATTTCCCAAATTGGCAAAATCAATTCACATTTATTTTAGGACTCCAAGCTGCAGTTTTTCTATCATCAAAGGTTTGTTCTTGCATCGGTTCAGAAAATACAATGCATTATAAAGCCTTAAGAGTATTAAGAACAACAGACGTAGCAGTTTTTCAGATCCTCTGATTGTACAACCATCCTTCTCATATACAATCATCACACCTAAACATGCTCTAAAATACAACAGTAACTACTCTGTACAACCTGTATATCTACAACCCCTAAGGCTGTAAAAGGAAAAAAAAAAAAAAAATGTTGTCTTCAGCTAAATGAATCTCTTCCAGAAAAGAGCCGGCTTGTTCCCTCATTAAAAATTGAAGGAAAATAGGCACAGAAATTGAGGGAAATAGGTAAAAGCATGGATCTTGTTCTATATAGTGTATTTAGTTTAATTAAATGTTATATCTTGAACAGTTCTAAATACATTCACTTGATTCATCTTTTGGAAGTGCTAAAATACAATTTAATCACTGTCCACTCTTGCTAAGTGTTTTGGTGGGCATTCTGACAGTGAAAGGCTACAGTCCCATACAGCAGTTCATACCAAACTCAGCAGCTGGAAGCTCTAGATTTAAGGCTCAACATAAGATCCACTTGTTTTTGTTGTTGTTTTTAAGTGAAAATAATTAACTATTGCAAATAGAATCACAGAAGCACCAAGACAGGAAAAGACCTCCAAGATCATTTAGTCCAACTGTCCACCCACCACCAATATTTCCCCATTAAACCATGTCTGTGTTAAGCTCTCTGGCACTTAAGCTCTTCAGACCAGGATTAAACATTTAATGGATCTTTCATGGAAATCATTCAGGTAGATCAGTATTATGTAAAGTGCCTCTACGAGGGAATGGCACTCTAAGCACAAGAGGATTTACCAGTCAACATGAGAATCTGCAAGACATTTTCAAGCCTTCAGAAATCAGCGAGCCACATCTTATAAAGCCAACCTGAAACAAACAAATATCTTGAAGTACTTCCTCACCTGCATCTTTAAATCAGCCTATAATAACAACTTTAGCTGCTGGACTTTTCCATCTAGGCTTTTTCTGTTCACTCTGAAAACAGAAGCATGTATTTCTTCTCATACGATTACTAAAAGCAGTCAAACTGTTGATTCCTTCTCAGGCGGTGCTATCCCTGCAGCCATCCTTTCCTCTGACTAACAGTTTGTATGACATATTTCCTCATCTTTGTTCCCTTATTAGCAAAGCAAGCAGTAATCAGGATGGAGGAAAAAAAAACCAACAGCATATAAACTTGCAGACCAGCGAGATGAAAAAAGAACACCACTGGAGGACAAGGAAAGACAGACTTGCTAGGTCTCTTGGCAGTTGGCATGGCGCAGCATCTGACTTCTTGTCTGCAGTGGCTGCAGACCTTCTAATTCTCAGGTGAAAGAAGCCACTTTTTGCCTTCTCAACCAAAGGAAATTTATTTTCCCCTCACCTCTTGGGCATGAAAATACAAGCTCATTCATACTGCTTAGAAATTTTTTTTGAATTTATCTCGCAGTAGAGTCAACCTACGCTACTCCCCAAGCTGACTCTTTTTTCACTTTCCACCTCTCATCTCCTCTACCAAGCCTGTTCCAGTGAACCTCTCCCCAAAACTTAGATTTCAGAGGTTTGTGCAGCAGTTATGCCCGTTGCTCTACTAATTCTAGTCCCTTTGAATGGACAGCAGACTTTTCCCTTTCCTTCGCTGAAACTTGCCTTATCAAAATGACCAGGGAGACAGAATCCAAATCTCATCTTCACAGAATCTTGAATCTTTTTGGGTGATTTATCAATTTTTATTATGTCAAAAAAAAAAAAAAAAAAAAAAGTAACTCCTCTCTCTCCACAACTTCATCTCATTGAATAAGCTGATATAAGACAAACTTTTTTCTCCTGCAGCCTGAGGGAAGCTCTGTGCCTGCTGTCTCTGTCATCTAAATGACATCACATGCTCTCAACATTTCCAAAAGTCCTACACGTCTTTAGGTGATCTAAATCTCTTCTTATCTCTAGCTGTACTCCCAGTTTCCAATCTCAGCAGTACAACTGATTGTGGGCCTTATTATCAATTTCAGCCAACAAGCTAAAAAAGAAATATATTTTTTCAACTTTGTTGGATGTTTTTCCTCTTCTTTCAAACTTTCTTCTGCCTATTTCTTCCTTAGCTAACCCGCTGCCAAATCTCATTTTTCCCTTTCAGATTGTTCTCTAAAACATCCTTCCTGTCTCTGATCCTTAAACCACAGTAGAGACTTTTGACATTACCCATTTTCCTGCTTGTCTCTCTGGTTTCTTCGGTGTACTGGCAATACTGCTGCTGAAAATACCTCTTGGCATCCAGTTTTCTCATTTCTTTACATTCCACATCAGATCCAGCCTTATCACTTTCAGCTTCAGAACTATATAATATAGTTCCCACATATATTTAAACCTCAGACATTAGTTCAGCCTACAATGCAGTTTGAGTTCTTCATTCCAAATGCCCTGTTTCTGAGTCCTTCCAAAAGTATATTCTGCAAGAAGGAAAAAAAAAAAAAAAAAAAGACACTTTCTGTCAGAAATATACTTCTGAAATTCAAGATCAGCAATTATCAGTCCTACAGCTGCAAAAAAATTATATTACAGCTGATCACAGCAACACTCCATCCATGTTCAGTCTGGAATGTATCATTGAACTTGCTTTACATCTTTCCACAAATAACAGCGAAACTGAACATTAACAAGGACAAAAATCAGTAATTGATTATTTGAATTTTATGAATAGGCAAGGTGAGGAACAATATCCTATATGAAGAGAGAAAGAAAGGATGAAGAGGCTACAATAGGTAGATGTCAAGAGAAACACTACGTGTCATAAGGAAAGCCAGTTGTATTGAAGTCTTTTGGCTCTGATTCTCTCTGATTCTGTGTTGTGCAAGTTCTCCTTGTTATGATTCGCACTTAAGACTTCCCTATGGAAGTGAGGCAATAGCCAGTTGAACAAGGGGACTAAGATAGTTTCACAGTAATTACTGTACCATCAGCTAGGTATAACCTAGAACAGATGTCTTCCACTGGGCTGCCCACTGACTAGAAAAATGGGCACGTCCTTAGAGACCTGAAGATCTGCCCCATCAAACTTCTACATTAGTCCATTTTCAAGACCTTGCAAGGGCAGAGAAGTCATTTTAAAGCAAATGCCTAAATCCAGAAAAGCTTAATTCAGAGTTCTGCTCTGAATGCATTTGTAATATTCAGTCTCTGTCCAGCATTCGGTGATAAAAGTGGATTTTCTTACCTTTCAGCCCACCTTGCCTTGTGGAGCTAATATAACTACAATAAACTGAATGGAATTCTGCCTGCTTTTTTTCTGGCTCTACACAAGTGCAGTCTCATGAAAACAATACTTTCCCCAAACATTACAGCTTAATGGTACCTTCTACTATTGTTAACAAGAGAAAGCAAAAATGCTATCTTGAGTCATGCCTCAAAACAAAGGGCTTGCACTCAGGAGCCCTGTTACTTCTGAACTGAGCACACAAATACAAGCATGCTGCTCCAAACAGCTACTTTCAGTCAATTCAGGGAGAAAAGACAGCTGAAACTTAAACCACTTTCAAACTTCACATTTCAGTGCTTGAGCAAGAACAAAGGCTATCAGGGCTGTAATAAATTTTAAGATTGTGTAATTATTTGTACCTGTCCCTTCCTTTGCAGGGAAACACATAGCAGGAACCTGCTGCCTTGAACTGTACCTTCCAGCCCTACAGCTGTTTAAGATCATTTCTGTAGCTATACTCTTTACCTCTTTGGAGAGCACGTGGCAATGATCGCCAGCTTCAGGAAAACAGCAAAGTCACTTAGAGAAAAATGCATGTGGCAAGAACTCAGTGATCTGGAGACATGGTTCCAGAGCTGCTGGGGCCACAGACTTGTGCAACTTTCTGTCAGATTTTTTATGCAACTGTGCAACTACTTTCTGTATAAGGAATGAAAAACATGAGCCCAAACCAACTGACAAGATTTATTTGTGTGTTACAGCATTCCAGTTCTCTAGACACGCATCTTTAACCATTTTTTCTTCTCACACAGTTGTATTCCAATTATGAGTATTCTGTTTCATTTTTTCTGGCTGTTACAGAAGATACTGAAAAAAAAGAAAATCTATAGACATACATTTTTCAGTGAACTTACTTTAGTAATACCAAGGCAGCTCTTGCATTTACTTTCAATGAGCACTCAAACCATTGTGTTTTCCTGACATAAATGCCTGTGGAGAGAGAATGAACGATAAGGTCTTAAGCCAAAACATTTGTGGCAACCTAGCTCATCATTCAATTCAGAAATGAAGTGCACTCATTCCTTTAATAAATAGAAAAAAAACAAGCTATCATGATTTATGATTGTGTACCTCTAAGCAACACAACCTGAAAATTAAAAACAAGCAGAAAGCTGTCTGTCTACATTGTATAAAGGTTTCCCTTTACAAAGTCAGAACATCAAGAGGTGAAATGGAAAAATACACCTTTTATCATTTAAAATATTGAGTAAGATTTAAGAAAAATATATTTTTACTGTTTTTTCTTTTTTTTTTTTTTATTCAATCTTGATTTGTTCATACCTTTCTCGTCACTATTTCTGAATGTGATCTTCAACGTACAAGTAGTGAGTCATTTTTCTTTCCTTACTTTCCTTCTCTTGTCTTTGTTGTTCTGGATATTGCTACAGGTCTTAGGGCTTAGCACACATGTTCCTCCACCACAACTGTACTTCTTCAAGTTACATTTCCCTTCCATGACGCAGCCTGGTCAGAAAATCAGTTCCATAGGAACACTGTTGAAAGTAGGATTAACAGGACAACAGAAGGTAAGAGGAAAACACTACAGACATGGCACATACCCATAAGATATATTTTACAGAATCATAGAATCGCAAGGTTGGAAAGAACCTACAAGATCATCTAGTTCAACCATCCTCCCATCACCATTACTACCACAAGCTATTAAGCCATATCTCATAGCAGCCTCACCAGTGCTGAGTAGAGGGTGACGATCACCTCCCTGCTCTTGCTGGCCACACTATTTCTAACGCAGGCCAGGATGGCATTGGGCCTCTTGGCCACCTGGGCACACTGCTGGCTCATGTTCAGCTAATCATCAACAAATACCCCCAGGTCCCTTTCTTCTTCACAGTCATCCAGCCGCTCATCCCCAGCCTGCAGTGCTGCATGGAGTTATTGTGGCCAAAGTGCAGCACCCAGCACTTGGCCTTGTTGAACCTTATCCCATTCCCCTCAGCCCAGCAAACCAGCTTATCTACATCCCTCTAGATTGACCCCTCAGCATGGCATGGGAACAAGTTACCACACAGAATCTAATACAGCTTGCCATATTTTTGCTAGTATGTTCAACGTCCACACAATGAGAAATTGCACATTAAACTTATAGACCGATTTCATGCTGATTAGTCTATGAGGGAACTAGGTAACTGGGTTGTTACAGTTCTATCTTTAGAAATGAATCAGAATTACTGCTTATTTAGAATAATTTAAGATGTCTGACTGTGCCTGTTCTAAGCATCCATTAACAAATGGTAGCTTTTACTTGACTTCCCACTGCATTAAACAGGCCATTTCAGTACACAAGACAAAGCAGCTCATCAGCTGGAGGGTGAAAATAAATACACAGGAAGCAGGCATACAAACAGAAGTGTTAAAATACATCTGTCTTACGCCAAGATTCATTTGTAAATTCATTGCAAGAGCAAAACTAAGTCACATCAATGTGTTTTCAAGATGATTAGAACACAATCAGAATTAGAAACCTTTAGATATGGTACTAAGGGACGTGGGTTAGTGAAGAAATACTGATGGTAGGTGGACAGTTGGTCTAGATGATCTTGGAGGTCTTTTCCAACCTTGGTGGTTCTAGGATTGTACCACGTAACGCTTAAATCCCTTTATAGCAATGGGATTCTGACTTACATCCTCAAGATTTCTGAAGTGATTCACAGATGCTGTGTGAGACACAGGAGAGCTAGAATTGAAGACAGGCTGCCCTGTAGTCAATGCTGGAGTAATGCTATCTATCAAATTCAGCTGTTCACTGCAAGGAGCAGTGGGGAAACACTTCTCTGTACTTATAAGCCCTTTGGTTCACAAACCTGAATCCTCTCCCAAAGTGGAATGACTAAGTTTACTCCAAAGGTATTTAAGAGGCGGGTAAACCACCCCTGCAATCTCTTTTAATTCAGTACCTTTGAAATCTCTAAACGCAGAGTTATAGAAGTTATAAATAAAAGTCTAGTCTCTCAATAAGGGATCATTAATGCTCTTTAACAAAAAGTATCAGCCAGCAGGCTTTAGCATGACCTGAAAAGGGAGATACAATCATCCAATCTATTTGGTTTTCAAAGTCCCTCTCTGCATACAAGAGGGATTCACTGAGCTAAAAGTGAAGGAAAAACAAAACAGAACAAAACAAAGCCCCTTAAGCTGCTATTTGGGAAAGCTCAGGTATAAATAAAACAACAGATGTTTCAGTTTGTTTTGTGAAAGGCAGTAATCGAAGATCAGTCATCCATGCATCAAACAAGTGCTCTCGGTCTGCTGACTGAACAGCGGTGTGACAGCACCTCAGTGCCCCTCCGGAGCGCCTTCGAAGATGACTCCTGTAGGCAAAAAAAATGCCAAGGATGTGCTGGTTTTGAGATCTGAGTAAGAAAACCCCTCGGGAGTATCTACAGCACTATTTTCTGGAATTATGGAAATAACCATAGGTGACTGAAGAAATTCAAAGACAAAAACGAGGCATGAATGGGATGTTATGCAAATTAAAGTGATGTGGATGCAAAGATACAACTATGCCTTACAGTTTGGTCCTGGCTGCCAAGGAAGTTCAGCATTGATTCACCAACTAAGTCTTCCTACAGCCATTGCCTCAAAACTGCAATATTTCTTCTATAACATCAGACTTTGTGGTTGAGACAGGACAGGTACTGACCGCAAAGGATAACTGCATCAAAAGCAAGTACTTTGTGGAAATGATGTCAATTACAAAAGCAACTATGATAACAGTAAGACTAAAAGAAGAGCTCACCTCTCCAATGGCATCAAGTTTTCTCATGGCCCATCTATGGAGCAGGTACAAGATACTGTCTCTCTTTATAGGTCTTGTCTGTCTTAAAACTCATGCATTTTAATGGGAACTCTTCAGTATCCCAAGCACTACAGTTTGCAACAGAAGCAGGAAGAAAGGAGCAGTGCAATCTGGTCCCATGCTAAGAAGATGCCCTCCTGGCTCCCAGAGGCCAGGAACAGCTCCCAGCCCTACCCTTCTGCTGGCAGCATGGGGCACAATCCATACCTCCCCTTTCAGGGTGCCTGCCCATCATCCGTGGGGTGCCAGCATGGCAGGCAGGGTAAGTTAGGGGATTGCACAGACAGCACAGGGACACACACAGCTACAGCACCACATCTTCAAAGGAGAGGCGTGTAATGCAAATAGAAGAACGTGCATTCCCAGAACGATGAGTTCTTGTAGCCACAACAGCCTGCCAAAAGGACAGAGGTGAACATGCGACTGCCAACTTACAGGAGACCGCTGGAGAAGAGCGTGTAGATAGCTGAAGGTGTTTACTCACATTCTGTAAGGCTTTAGTACAGCCATTTATCTGTTATATTGCTGCTATTAATCCTAAGCATGCAGTTCACCGACTGAGGGTTAATTACAATCTATTAATAAATCAACAAACCACTTTGATCCTTATTTGATTTAAACCATGAGTCCAAATCCTGTATAAGCACATGCACTTCTCCGTGTTTTTCTGCTCGACACTTACACACAACCTTCGGCTAAAAAACACAACTTCTCATTTTCTATTTTATTTTGTTCTTCCTCACCCTCCCCTGAGAGCACTTAAAATATGCAGGAAATCAACTGGCTAGCTTTACCTGTCAAATTTCCTTCAGTGCTGACACTTACCTCCCAGAACTTACTTCTCTCCAAATTGGAATGATATGGATTTGATGAGTGGACTGTTCAGTGGATGAGGAACTGGTTGCGAGATCGTACCCAGAGAGCAGCGGTCAATGTCCAGATGGAGATCAGTGACCAATGGTGTTCCTTAAGCATCAGTACTGGGTCTGGTGCTCTTTAACATCTTCATCAGTGACATGGAGTCAGTGGGATCAAGAGTGCCCTCAGCAGTTTGCAGGTGACACTGAGCTGTGTGGTGTGGTGAACACACCCAAGGGATGGGATGCCATCACAGAGACCTAGACAGGCTGAGCAGTGGGGCCCAGGAGAAGCCCACGAGGTTCAACAAAGCCAAGTGCAAGGTCTTGTTCTTGGGCTGTGGCAACCCTGACTATCAGTACAAAATGAGGATATAAGAATGGAGCACAGCCCTACGAAAAAGGACCTGGGTGTATTGGTGGATGACAGCTGGATGTAAGCCAGCACTGTGCCTTCACAGCCCAGAGAACCAACCACATCCTGGGCTGCATCCAAAGCAGTGTGGCCAGCAGGGTGAGGGAGGGGATCTGCCCCTCTGCTCTGTGCTGTGACACCTCACCTGGAGCACTGTGACCAGATGGGGAGTGCTCAGTACAGGAGAGACATGGAGCTGCTGGAGAGTGTGCAGAGCAGAGCTGCAAAAATGAGCCCAGGGATGGAACACCTCCCTGTGAGGACAGGCTGAGAGCTGGGCTGTGCAGCTGGAGAAGGGAAGGCTCTGTGAGACCTGATAATGGCCTGTCAGTACCTGAAGGGGGGGGTATAAGAAAGAAAAGGACAGACTCTATAGCAAGGAACTGTGTGATAGGACAAGGGGAAATGGTTTCAAACCAAAAGAGAGGAGATTCAGATCGGATATAAGGAAAAAGCTTTTTAAACAAGTGGTACTGAGGCAGTGGCAAAGGTTGCCCGGAAAGGTGGTGGTGCCCCATCACTGCAGACAGGCAAAGTCAGGCTGGACGGGGCTCTGAGCACTGATGGAGCTGTGGGTGTCCCTGTGCACTGCAGGGGGTTGGACTGGATGGCCTCAAATGATTCTAAGATTCCAACCAAACTATTGGAATTAACCTCTCCCCCCCTCCCTCCCCCCCCCATTAGCAGTTTCCTACTCTGGTCCAAAATATATCTTTTAATTAAGAGTGACTATTGAATTATTGGATTTAGCAAATTAAAATTTAGGACTAATGCTTATGCTAGCTTCCCCAATGCAGCTTTGGAACCAGGTGTTCCAACGGAATTATATCCACTACATCAGATTTTTACATCAGGATATTCTAAGGAAAACACATCTGAAAGATTGCTGGCTTCTCCTTCCTCCTTCACAACTGAAAAAGCAAGCTAAAACCTGACTTCTAGACAACACTGAAAAGCGTCGTCTTTATTTTAAAACTGGTTTAAAAACAAAAAGTTATGGTTCAGTTCTCAACCTCTGCTGATGACATTTTGATAAGTTAGAGGTAAGCAAGGATTATTTCTCATGCTTAAAACTCAAATTCTCAGTCATAGAAACTATAAAATCTGATGCTTGGGTACAGAACATAGGGTCTTACTATTGTTCCTATATCCTAAGTAGCCTTGGATAAAACATATTGACAGATTTTGTACTCAAAGACACTGAAAAAACTCAATCCTTGATGACCAATGACTGACCTCAGATCTTATCAGTCTGTGACCCTCAAATAGTAACATTCATTTTAGAATTATACGTGCATTTAACTCTTTTTTTTATTGTGCACTCTTGGCTTACAATTGATCAAAATTATTCTTTCCCCAAATTCACTTTTCTTTCTTCTGCAGTCAGGAGAAAAACATTCTGTATGATGCATAAAGATTTTTAAAACCACCTAGGCTTGCAAGACACAGCATATCACCTTTGCAACTACTTCTTAGAAGTTACTTATTTTGCAAAACCTGGCTTCTTAAACAAGCACTTAAAGTTTAAAATAACTTCCCAGACCAACAACTGGCAAACTACATTCTTCTTCATTACAGTTTCAGAAAGGAATAGTCATAGAGCTGGAAAAAAAAAGTATAAAAGCCTTACATGAATTAAAAAAAAAGTTATTCATAATTAACTTTTTTCAAAGGTATTGATCTGAGTGCCATACAAAGAAAGTGATTAGTGGAAACCAGACCTGCCAATAACTCCAAGAAGGGGAAAAAAAAAAGCCCTGCAGTTATAGTGGTGGAGCTGGTTTTCATAATATGTTTATTTTGTAGATGCTTGAAATTTAAAACATTTGTAACTCACGGAGGGTAACATCATGCAAATTTTAATGCCTGACTTATATGAATGTTCCTACCCTCTACAACATGAAAAATCACCACCTGCTCTGTGTTAGTATTTAAAGTTGGCAAGCAGCCACAATGCTCACTGATCTTTTTTTTTTTTCCCCTCACTTAATTTTGATTAGGTGGAGGAAACATTACAGATTACCTCACATGTCAATCTATTAAGTGCCCAATGCTCATGCAATCTTCAGCTTCTGTGGGCCAGTAACTTTTCCTCCCCCCTCACACACCAAAAGTCAAGAAATTAAAACGAAACTTGCATCGCAGTGAAAATCTGTACATTCATTACATTCATTTAGCACTGCAGTGCAGTTCAAAGTTTATCAAACAAAAAATTGTTCATAAAACACTGCTGGTCAGGGGAAGAAACACCTTACTTCTCAATTGCATGCTCCCTAATTCCAGCTAGCATTGCTCCAATTAATAGATTTGTTACTCCCTACTTCTTCTTTCCCAGCCTTTTTCCACATTATCTATACTTCTTTTTTCTTCCAGGTGATACAAAGAAAACCATTCCTCTATTTCTCTCTCTATCCAGAACATACCTTCTCCCATTACTAAGTCATGTCCATGCCTTTCTGTTTACATACTCCACCTATGGAATGTGGAACCAAAGAAGAGAATATCGATTCTAGGATAAATCCTTCCCCTCTTCCCCAAAAGCACCATAGAAGCACAGTAGGAGCCCATCTCCAGTTAACATTTACCCAGCACATTCCCACCTCCTCACTCCTTTAACACATCTGAGTCACCAGTTGAAGTGACTGGAAATCAACCTGCTGAAGCAAAAATGCATGAAGTTCACAGTTATTTGACATGCATTTCCACAGCAGCTCACATGTGGAAAACTGAAGAGTTCCTCTTAGAACACGTAAACTTTGTCTGAAAGACAGAGCCCGCGAAGAGAGGCAGTATCTTGGATCAAGTCCATGGATGGTCTATGAGAAAACTTAATACCTTTGGAGAAACAAGCTTTTAAGCCTTCATTTTAGGGACTGTAAAAGTTATAAGATGACTTGTACTTTATCTCCCTTTCTCCAGGAGTACTACCATTCTCTAAAGGAAAATGAAAGATGAGTCCCTTCCTCGTGAACTGTTATGCATTAGGCTTGTCAAGAAGATGGTTCCCCTCCTCATCACAGTATTTTATACCTTCTCACTCATTTCTTCCAGCCAAAATCTGGTACAGAACACCTCCTTCTCCCCCAGCTCTTAAATTAATCTTCTAGCCAGTTAAATACTGCATAAGTTGCTTCTTTCAAAAAAGCATTTTTTGTAATTTTGAGAATTGAACGTTAAGCAGCAGGTGGCAACTTTAATATCTGCATTTGTCTTTGAATCATAGCTCAATAAACCCTCACAGAATATTAAAGCTTCTGCCTACCTTGTCTACTTGGCCTGTGCACACCATCCTGTCAAACTCCACCTGCTGGATAATCTTCTTATGGCAGGCCGAGAGAAGCTCTGGCACATTTGTTAATACAACACCTAAAACAATGATACATCTGTTTTAATGATGCACTTACATACTTTGCATGCTTTTCCTTCCGACCATTCCCTACCAGCACTACAACCAAGTGAATCATCGAGTAAATTACTTCTTCTTAACACCTCAGGAGAACGGGCCTTACTCATACTTAAGATCAATTCCTAAAAATATTTATCTACAGGAGAAGTTACAGCCCCATGCAACAGGAATGGAAGTAGAAAATAAACTTCACAATTTTCAGCCTCTAAAAACAGAAAAGCAGAAAGTTTGGCAAGTTTGGAAATGTGATTTAACTTACCTTTAAGCACTACAATATACAACTGGTATAAAGTTCCTTGCAATTCCAAAAGAATGCCAATTCCAGAGAATGCCACTTGTAAGCTAATTAGTTTAAACTATACGAGTCTGTTTGTGTGCTAGTTAACTTTTCTGCTTGCTACTTCTCTCAGTAAACTTAGTCAAATGATGGTATGGTCTGTTAAAGGTGGAATGAAGCATCAGCCTTTTCTGTGGTACCCTACCCTCCTTAATGTTTAGAAACAATCATTTTTGCATTTGTAAGTGGAAGGAGAACTGAATTTGTGTTGCAGGTTGTATGACCAAGATGTTATAATTGCAATATAATCAAAAGAGTAAGGCAAAAGCAAACAAGGATCACAAAAGAGAATAAGTAGAAGAGCTTACCCTTGGGTTGAGCTCACTAGAAGATACCAAAAGAGGAGGATCTCCAGAAGAGATCCTTCCCCTCTGGTAACCAGTTCTTAAATAGGTCCAGGAGGGGTGGAGCCTGGCTCCCCCCCTTCCGGTAGCACAGGTGAATTGCCTTCAGCTGTGCTCCTCTGGCTGACTCATGGCTCACCTCAGGTGATTAATCAGAGGTTCAGGCCGTGACTCAGCAGTTCCCATACACAGGTACAAAGAAGTATGAACTAAAGATATTGTTACAGCACTTATTTAATCACTTCCTCTTACACAAGTCAAACATTCAACTTTCAAATGTTAACTGATAATATCTTTTTAACTATAATTTCCAACAGACAAAAACCATACAAAGTTGGCTAGATCTGTGTATTTGCTGATATTCTCTTCTAGTATGACTTAAATTTATTTGTCACCAAGTAGAGTTGTTCATTATGACCTACCATCCTTCAGGAATAATTTGAAAATACAGCTCAAGACTTGCAAATCATACCTGGAACAATCTGTCCTACTGAAATACTGGGAGAGGAATTACATTTGAGAACAGTAATTTAATCCAACTGGGAGAGAATGTACTACTTAGAATAATGCTCAAATACTTCTCTAGAAAAAGAAATGAGTGCCATTTTACACAGTTGATGTAGCACAGGCATTCAAATTCCTTGCTGCATGCAGATTATAATTTCAAAACATTGTAACAAAATAAGTAGAAGTGGAGACGGTCCACACAAGTTTGATAGGAGCTTCAAAATAACTTTTATTACTTATGAAGAACTATTTTGCTCCTCTTCTACTAAGTTCCTCTGTTTTTGCTAGATCTCCAAATGAAACTGTAGCAGAACTTCTCTGTGCAGGTCTCACCTAAGAAGAAAAGAGGAAAAAACATATAAGGGCTGTTTTCTAAATTAAAATATTTTATAAAATTTGTTTAAAGCCTAAGTAATTTAAAACACATCTTCAAAGAGTCAATAGCCGAGCTTCATATTACCTGTGATTTGTGAAACTTCCAGCCAGTCAGGTAGAAGATCTGAAGTGGGGCAGGTACTGAGCCACCGCTCTTTCAATACATTTCTGTCATGGAAGGAAGGGAGAAAAAGAAAAGGTACACGGAATATCAGTATTAAGAACTCATAAATTCCCAAAACAGTCAAATTAGGCATGGCATACTCCTCATAATGACTCTTGGTGAAAGATTTGGGACAGTAAAAATATCTCATACTGGCACATTAACATAGTTCAAATTCTGTCATTGTAATTAAGGTTAAAAATACCTGTACTAAAACGGTATTTAATTCTTTCTCTTGGGGGGGGCACCCTCCCATCCCCCCCCCCATAGAGGTCAGAGCAAGTAAGTTTTTAGAGTTGTTTCAGGTTAACTCTTCAGCTTACTTTCTCCTCAACTCCTACTTCAGGAGTAAAACAGATTCACAGCAGACCACAAAGAAGAAATCTCTGACTTCTGCTTCCCAATACAAAACTGTTTGTGGAGCTACTCTCCTGACTCATTAGATTTCAGGAAAAAAAAGTAATGCTTTCACTACTACCATCAGCTTTAATTGGAGTTATGAAGCAAGCATTAACTATTCCACCCCTGTGTTGCTGACACAGAACATGGTTAGGTTTCTGCAGTGTATACTTGCCTTGTGAGTCTTCCATAACCTGAGACGATCCTGGATGGTTTACCTGAACTTCATCGCTATCCTGAAAGAATTCAAAAGCTTAATTTTGGAGCATATCAAGTTAAAACCAGAGCATTCTATTAACTTTCAGAACCCGCCACTTCACTTCTAATTGAACACACTATTACTCAGAAAAATACACTGCCTCAACATTTCTGAAGAACTTTGTTTAGTGGCTTAAACCTAATCAAATTTTAATTGAAATGCCATTATTCTTTTCTTGGTTTTAGAAGCAGCAGCAGGAGTGTCTCAAGTTCTTTCAAGCAAATCTAACATTCTCTGACACTTCTTGATGAAGACCGGGGCAAACTCATCTGGGCCACTAGCCAAAGATACACTTCACTTGGTTTCATTGATCTCAGCACAGCCAAGAACAGAGGCAGATCAGACTAGTTCAGAAACTTACTTAGCAAAGCACACTCCATGCAAAAGAAAGGAATTACTTATTATGCTTTGCTAATGTTCCTGTAAATGGTGTTTATTATACAGCTCTGATGTTTCAGACTACTTTTTGATTGTTAATTACCACAGCCAGGGTGCTAAAAGCCAGCACCTGACAGATGTCCCAAATCCAGTATGAAGTGGACAGTGGTGATCTATGAAGAGAAAATCCCCTTTCCCTAGCCCTAGGTAGCTGCAAAGGGCAGGGAAACTCGTACAGACTGCCTCCCAGAGACACTGCACCAATAAATATCTGAATTTGGTGAATCTACAGCACAGAAGAAAAAACATACTCTTACTTTTTTTTATTAATACTATGCAGCTAAGAAATTCCTGCAGTTTTGTTTTTTTTTTTTTTTTTTTTTTTTTTTTTTTAATATGAAATTAAAAGCAATCTTGGATAAAAGCATTCGCAACAGGAAACTCCTAAAAAAATAACCTCAAATAATTTTCTTCCAAAAAGGTACAGTTTAAGATAATTTGGATGCTTCTACTTTCTCAGAGGAAGGCAACCTGAGTGCCTCAGGAACTCCTTAAGAGATGCACAGGCCTTGATTTCCAGTAGTGGTTTTTGTACTTCTATGCTCATGGCAGAGCAGTGCCATTCTTATGTCTGCTTTCCATTTTTTCATTTTTATTTATGTATTTATTTTTAAATCTAAGAAGAACAGCAATATAGCAACTCAAATGCCAAGGCTGACAGGCTGCTTTCCTTGCCCAGATCCTACTGAGAACATCAACCAATTCAGCTTCTTTTTTATATACAGAACTGCCAGCAACTGCTGGTTTAGAAAGAATAGGCATTTTACATAATCAAGCTAACAAGGCAGAAAAGGCCACAACTAATGTACCTCGCTTACTGCGTTGAAACAAAAGCCCTTTAAATGGGTATTTCATTAAGCATTAATCACACTACCTCTACCCACGCTAAAAAAGAAATCCTTTAATTGAGCAGCAAGAAATTTAAGCTGGTGAAAACAGTTTCCATTAGTTAAAGACAATGGTGCTAAAGCAGAAAACAAGCATCCCAGGTGGAAATTCACCAAGACCCCCACTTTCTTGCTCTTTTGGGGGTATTGTAACAGGTTACTTAATTTTATCCTGGTGGTAAAACTATTCCACACTACAGAATATTTAATTCCCAGAGAAAATAATGTACTTCCAAGGGGTTATTTTTAAAAAATTCAAGTAAATGCTGGGGTATTGTGATTTCTAGCTTCATTATCCCAAAACAGGATACTCCTGTTTGTATCAAGAGGTGACGGGATAGCACTGCAATAACACTGCAAAAAAAAAAACTGCGTAACGCAAGCTATTCATGTGGCCATTTTTATTTAAACAACAGGATACACAAACAGCTCTCAGTGCAAGTAATGGAGTTACTTTTTCATTCTCAAAAAATAAATCCCACCTCTCTGAAAGCTCCAGGAAGGTCAATCATACAGCATAAACTGAAAAACCACTTCATCCACCTGACCTACAGCAGAAGGGCTCCCTATGCACGCTAACGTGATGGTTAGTAATGGCTGTCTACTTAAATACCTGAGGTAAAACTGGTGACCACGTGGAGGCTCGGTCATAGAATCATTCAGGTTGGAAAAGCTCACCAAGCTCGCTCCGCCCACTAACCTCGTCCCTCAGTGCCAAAGTTCGCGCCACCACTCCAACGACAGCCGCCACACTCGCGGCCGCGACTTATCTTACGCCCTGCGCATGCGCACGACAGCACCGCTGCCGCAGTTCCGCCGCCGCGCCGCGCGATTGGTGTGTCCCGCCGCAGCCGCCGTAGTGCTGCTGGCCGGCGCGTGGTGGGCCCGTGGTTGGAGCGGCGCGTCTCAGGTGGGGCGACCGGCACGGCTTAGAGCGGGGTGCGGTCCTTCGCGGCAAGGGTCGAGGGGGGAGCGGGGCCGTGTTTCCCTCGGATCGGTCCGTGGGGAAGAGCTTTGTTGTATTAGCTCCCAAATGGTGTTTTAGGGTATGAAACGCGGGGAGAGCCAGCCTGAAGTCTGGCTTGGGATGGAACCTTTTGGGTCGATAAGGGCTCGTTTAAGGCGCCGTTAGCTGACAGCCGGCTGAACGTGAGCCAGCAGTGTGCCCAGGTGGCCAAGAAGGCCGACGGCACCCCGGCTTGTGTCAGCGGGAGGGCGGCCAGGGGGAGCAGGAGGTGACGGGCCCTCCGCTGGGACAGAAGTGGTGGGATCACCTGGACATGTCCCAGAGCCGTGGGGATGTGGCACTGCGGGCAGTGGGCACGGTGGGCTTGTTTATCTTAGTGGTCTTCTCCAACCTTAGTGATTCCTGCATGTGCATTTGGGAAAAATAATGTTAGAAATCTTGCTTCTGTTTTTTGTTAATATGGGGTGTGTGTGTGTGGGTGTGTGTGTGTTTTTCATTCCAGACTTCAGTGACATCAAAAATGGCATCCCAGAAGGAAATACTGAGCGATGGGCGGTTCAGCCGCGTTGCCCGGGATCCCAGGTTTTGGGAGATGCCAGAAAAAGACCGTAAAGTCAAGATTGACAAACGCTTTCGAGCAATGTTTCATGACAAGAGGTTCAAGCTGAAGTGCACAGTGGATAAAAGAGGTCGACCTGTTAACTATACCTCTGTAGAGAACCTCAAGAAGTTCTATGCCTTGTCGGAATCTGACTCTGAACTTTCAGAAGATGAGAGCGAAGTACGTGCAGAAAAGAAAAAAAAGAAGAAAAAAGCTAAGCCTAAGGAAGGAGATTCTGTAAAACCAATTCCTCAGGAAGAGAGTAAAATGAAAAAACAAGGGGTGGACCAAGCATGTAAAGATGACCCTCAGAACGAAGGACAGAAAGTTGCATCTAGATTCAAATTGAAAGAGGTCTCCAAGAAAACCAGAACAGAAATGGATGACTCCCAGGGAAACAAGGACCTTTTATGCGATACAGAAAATGAGGAAGGAGGTGAACCAAAAGGAAGGTTGGTTTCAGTTCAAAATAAGCAGAAGACTTCAAAGCCAAGAGGTGCTAATACAGTTAAAGCTGCAAAGAGGGTCTGTTCTGTACAAGGAAAAACACAGGAATCAGGTTAGTTTTTACAATAACAGATAGAATTTGGCTGTACTTATTTTGGTATTGTTCCTATTTTATAAATGAAAAACACTTTTTTCACTAAATCAACCAGAAGAGCAGACTTGGGTTATTACTAATGGCAGTGAGCTGCTCACAGAATCAGTACGTGTTCTTCAGTAACATTGGAGACAGTCATGGCCTTCCCATTGATGGAGCCAAAATTGTTTGTTAGGGTAGTAAGAAACATGAAATATCACAGAATCGTAGAATGGGCTGAGTTGAAAAGGACCACAACACTCATCCAGTTCCAACCCCCTGCTATGTGCAGGTCACCAACCAGCAGCCCAGGCTGCCCAGAGCCACATCCAGCCTGGCCTTGAATGCCTCCAGGGATGGGGCAGCCACAGCCTCCTTGGGCAACCTGTTCCAGTGCCTCACCACCCTCTGGGGAACATAAAATAAAATGATATCATTCTGTCAGTTTTAAACCAGTAACGCAAGTAGGGGACCAAAAAGCAATAAATGAGAAGCAGAACACTTAATACTGATGTTTGAATTTCCCTGATGTAATTTGTTCCTGCATTGTTCTACCTTCCAGAGATTCTTTTAATCAGCATGAAAAAAAGCTTAAGATGTTTTTTCCTCTCTGTAAAAGATCATATGAGTTTACAACATAAAGTCAGATACCTAATATTTGTGTTTTAGTGACTGCTTGCAGAGACAGCGGTGCTGAAAGTGACATCGGTGAAAGCCAATTAGAGGAAGAAATTTCTGCAAGGGAAAGTTCTGAGTGTATGCAATCAGAAGAAGAGTTGGAAGACAATGGGGAAACAGATGAGGACGAGGAGTCAGAAGACAGTGAGGAAACAGATGAAGGTGGTGATTCGGAAGATGGAGAAAGTGATATAGAGCCTGATCTGGCTAGAGGTATAGGGAACATTGAAACAAGCTCGGAGGATGATGATGACTTAGATGATCTATTTCCAAAGGAGCCAGAGATTGAGCATTCATGGGGTGAACTAGATAAAGATGCCCCTCGTGGAGATGAGGTAAAATTGCTCCTGCATGTGACAGGTTACTATGTGAATAACTGAAAGATGCACAGTCATAACTTTGTTGTACACTTTTGACTATGTAACAACTTGTGAAGGTTTCTGTCAGAACAGTTTTTGGACATTTTTGATTACAAAATGCAAGTGATTGGTGAAGTTGGCCATGAATGTGAGACCTTAAGTGTTCTCTGATGTCTCCCTCTGTCTCTAAGCAGAGGGTCATCTGTAGATAGATAAGCTCTATCTGTAAGTGGGGGAAAAAACAAATGGAACTGTGCTTTTAAAGGAATTCTAGAGTTTAAATAGTTCTGCTGTTGTTGGCTACTGATTTGTTTTTCACTTTTTAAATATGAATTCTCTAATTCATGCTTAAATAATAAGTTATTTAACAAGGAAGCAGGACTTTAAAAATGGTTATGTTTAGTTCATACAAAAATCACAGTACCACAGTGCTGTTATAATACTGTGTTAGTTATTGCTGTTGTGACTAACCACGTGTTAACAAAATCTGAAGCGCTGGTGTTATAAATCTAGCCTTAATTCTGTGATTAATGCAGTCTAGCATATCTGTTGTTGCTTTACCACTTGGATCCTTCTATCTGCTGTGTTGGTGCTTCAAGCCTTTAGTAATTAAATAGGTATCAAGTCTCGAGGAAAATGATGTTTGTATTTTTTAAGTAGAGCTTGTTGCTGACTTCAGTGTTTACATAGAACAGTTGTTAGAGAATTGTATATTCTCCATAGTGGTCAGGAATTAAACTTTTCTTCCCCCCCCCCCCCCCCCCCCCCCATTCAGATTACAAGCAGACTGGCAGTTTGCAATATGGACTGGGATAGACTTAAAGCTAAGGACTTGCTGGCTTTATTTAATTCTTTCATACCCAAAGGAGGAACTATATTTTCTATTAAGGTAAGACCTGATTTCTAAAAGAAGGAAGTGGCTTTTTACTCTAAAGCTGGGGGAAAGCCAACAAAATAAAAGCAAAGGAAGTTAATTAGGTGGAAGAACCAAGACACGATAAATGAGAATTAACATGTGTTGCATCGGGGCCATGCCCACCGCCCTCTGGGGCACAGCCTTTCCCTCACCCCCACCTGCCCTCCCCTGACGCAGCTCCATGCCGCTCCCTCAGCCCTGTCACTGTACAGACAGCAGAGCTCAGCGCTGCCCTCCACTCCCTGGGGGAGCTGCAGCTTCCATCAGGCCTCCCTTCAGCTCCCCTGCTCTGTGCAAACCAAGGGACTTAGCTGCTCCTCACGTGTCTTCCCCTCTAAATTCTTCCCTGTTTTTGTAGCCTAAAATGTAAAGCGTAACTGCTTTCTAGTGATGGGCTTGGATTCTGAAGCTGTTAACATATTGTGTTTACGATGTTGGCTCCAAGTGCTGTTTCGCTGAGATTAATAGTGAAGTTTTCAAAACCTTATAGAGGGAGACTCCATTTCCTTAGCTAGATTGCCTTTCAGTAGTCTATCTGGTAGATAACTCAGCCTTAAACCTGGAGATTTCTAAATGCACTTCAATTCCTTTTGTCGTTGCCCACTATTGTTTGTTTTTCAACAATTTTGAATTATTTATAAACTGGTTACCTTCTGATCAAAGTAATGTTTTTCCAGTTTTAGTGCTTGCCTGCAGCAGAAACTTCCTGAGTCAGTCTAGTAGCCCTTTCTGAAGAGGGCGATAGTAAGATGAATGAAGTTACTGCTCCTATTAGTTTTCATCTGTCTCAAAATAGTCTCTTGTTTAACAGTCTGTTCACTTCCTTGTCTTTCCTTTAAGGTTAAGAAGATATTAAAACTTGTAGAATTGAACCCATATCTTTTTTTCTCTCTAAAAATCAGTGAATTGTAAAAGGCTTGGTGTGATCTTATTCTTAACTGGTATACAATTTGCTCCACAGTTAAAATTTATGTTTGTATTGTTTTATTTCTAGATTTATCCTTCAGAGTTTGGAAAAGAAAGATTGAAAGAGGAAGAACAACAAGGGCCTAAGGAACTGTTTGATCTTCCAGAGAACACCACAGAGAAAGACGAGTATTAACTTAATCTTCAAATGAATCTTAATTCCCTGATTAGCTGCTTGTTACAGAACTTCATTTACTGGAGTCTCCTGTAGACATTTTCATTTTGTAGCTTTTTCAAGGGATATATCAGGCCTGACCCTAGCTCAACAGGAATGCATGTAATAAATGCATTATGATAAAACTTGCAAAAAAAAAAAAATGTTACCAATAGGAGACTTGAAAACTTTTGTTGCTCGTTGCAATAATAAATTGAATGTGTCAAGAGTTCAATATATGATTTTTCTCTACCAATTGCCACTCGCACAAGAAAAACCCCTTTGTTGCTTGCTATTAAAATTTTTATCAGCACAACCAACATGGACTTTAACCTAGCCCAAAAATTCCCAGGTTGAGATCTCTTGAATGCTACCAGCTGCAGCCCAGGCAGGCTGAGCTCATCAGGCCTGGACTTCAGATCCAGGCTTCTCCAGTCATGGAGTAACCATACCTGTATATGAAAATGCTTTTCACCAGCTTTGCCAGGAGTCAAGGGTGCAGGTTTCAGTTCAGCTAAATAGGCTCAAACACTTTGATGGGAAATACTGATTGCTGCTTTCTGTGGCCTGCATAGAGGCATGCAGAGGTGCCCTGTGCGGGGACTCTAACCTCACAGTGCTGGTAGGAGGCAGAGTCTGATAGAGTTGCAACTATATAACGTGTTGAGGCAATTAGAAAAACATCAGTAATTTGAAAAGTTGGAAAATTTAATAATGTCAATCTTAGAATGTTAGCTCTTTGGGTGGAAAATGCACTGAGTGAAACACAGCCTCCTTTAACAGAGCTGTGTGAATTCTTTGAGTAAAACTGAATAGGTATTGGTGGAATGTCACGTTGTTTAACATTTAACCTTATAAAGACAGGGAGAGCGTTTCAGTGATGCATATATTTAAGGAGTTGAATTACAATATTTTGCAGATGAAAGCTTGTTTAAGCCAGCTCACTAATTCTGTTGTTTTCTGCTTTTGCAGGCTTTATAAGGAAAAGCTGAGGGAATATCAGTTTAAGCGACTGAAGTACTTCTATGCAGTTGTAGAATGTGACTCTCCTGAAACAGCCAATAAAATTTACGAGGAATGCGATGGACTGGAATTTGAAAGTAGCTGCTCTTTTATTGACCTCAGGTAAATCTGATGGTGGCTTTCTTATATATCCAAAGGGGGAAAGGGCACAAATAAAAAAAATCAATTTAGAATAATATGGATTGGGCGATATTTATTCTCTAACCAAAGTTGAGGTTATTATTATTTTTAAATTAAGGTGCAGGAGATAGTGGCAGTTTCATTTGTTGTTGCTGGGTTGTTTTTTTTTTTTCTTCTGTCTACTTGTCCCTTAAGTATCTTTATATAGAAATGAAAATTTGGGGCATATCTACATAGAGAAATTACAATAATTCCTGTTGAATATTCAGCCTTATTGGCAAAATTAAGCAATGTTTTAAGATACACATCAAAAAAAACATCAACTTGCAACTCTCATGTTTAGAAGTAGCTTTTCTTTTTCACTTTTTGTCTGTTTTTCTGGATTTATAGCACAGAGCACAAACATAGCTGCTTTTTTCTGAAGCTGCAGTACATCACCATGTTACTCCCTATGAGCTAGAGGCTCTAATATTTCATAAGTTGTGTTAGAAAATTTATAATTTTTAATTACAGTTGTGCTTTGTTGCTAGTATTTCCTTTTGTTATGAAAGAGCCTGCTAGTCTAGGCAGGAGAGAAATAACTAAATCATATTAGTGTTTGAAGAAGCTGGCTTTGTCTCCTGGGAGCTGTGCTGTGGACACTCTTAGAAACCATGAAGGATAAGTTTCAGGCCAAAAGAGCTTGTAATTTTTCATGCTTATGTAATGGCACCAAGACCAGCACAATGAGAAGATTGTTTAAAAAAAAAAAATAATAATAATTCTTACCTGTCTCCAAAGATCTAGGCTTGCAGAAAAACTCCAGAAAAGAAGGATTTTCAGTAAGAGAGCCTTCCTTGGTGGCAGTCAGCCCTTAAATGAGGTCTAGAGAGGGGTAGAGCCTCGCTTCACCCTTCTGGTATTACAGATAAATTACCTTCATCTGTGCTCCTGGGGCTGACTGTCTTTTCTCCAGGTGCTCAATCAGTGATTCAGCCCTTGACTCAGTAGTTTCCCTACATTCCACCCCTTCATGGCCTGAACCACTGATTGAGCCAGCTGGAGGATGAGCCTTCCCTGATACAGAGATCCAACGCACCACGATGCTCACACAGTTGCCTATTGAGATGCAGGTTGACACAAAGTAAGATGATTGATACATGAACTCCAACTTGTGGTTGGAGTTCATGTTCTCTCATGGTTCAGTTCTTGATAGTGTTACTGGAGGCACTCAGTTGTTTGGTACAGGTCCATCTCATGTTCCATCAGTCCCACATAGGCCATGGCCAGGTGTCATGCTCCATGTCACAGCGACACTGGAACACTTTGATGACATTTTGCTCCTTCTGGTGATCCTAGGAACTCTTAAAGACTCACAGAGTAGTACAGATATTTCAGAGATACCCACAGGGGAAGGTCTGCCCTCCGAGGCAAGATACAGGCCATGTTCCTCTCTTGAGTCAACACTTCAGGTTGCTCTGGGGCATATCTCAGCTGTCTATTCCACACCCTTTGGCCAGATATCTGTGATTGCATTACTATATCAGGCACCAAAGGGGGGGTTCTGATCTGCCATAGGGACATGATGAGAGTTTCCTTAGCAATGAAGACCAGAGTGTTGACCACGATGTCTGTAGGCCATGTGCTGATTACTGGAGAGACTACTGAGCTTCCCACCTCCAATAATCTCCACCAGGGTGCAAGTGGGCCACACCACTTTGATCCTACTTGCACCTTCCAGGGCAATTCTGTTCTGTGGGTACAGAGTTCTACATTGTCAGGGGCAGGGAGCAGTAGATTATTTTCATTAACAGTTTGGGGTCTTGCATGATTGTCAGAGGCCACAGTTTGGATCCTAAGATGGGAAGCCCAAGTTATCTGAAGCATCTTAAGGGCGCTGGGTCTGCCATCCCTAGGTCTTTTGTTCAGCTCCCACAGAGTTTCATGCAGTCTCTTCATCCACCCCTGCAGAGACCCACAGTCTATTTTCAGAGCAGCCTTAAGGATCCCGTTATAACGTTCAGTTTGACGCCTGCTCCCATTGGATTATACAGCAGATGAAATCACCATTCAGTGGCGTTTTCTTCTGCCCATATGCCACCACTAACTTGGTTAAGGCCTTGGTGGTGTAGACTTTTGGTACCAGGTAGACCTGCATCAGTCCATTTGCCATTTGGACGCAAGTTAATGCATACCTGGCCCCCTCAGAACACAGGAGAGGGCCTATATAATCAACTTGCCACCTTTGATGAGGGTTATGTCCTCTGGCAAGGGGGGCAGTCATCTCTGGCAAGGGTTTTGGTCTCATCCTTGAGCAAGTGTTGCAATCATGACATGCCTGGATGATGTCTGACATTGTTCTGTGCGGCCTCGGTGCTTTGACTGCTGGCCACATCATCTTCTGTCCAGCATGTGTTAGCCAGTGGGCAATGTTCTCAGAAGGAGAGTGCTCAGTCCACCATACTTGAGCCAGCATGTCAGCCTCATCATTTCCTGGTGACTGCAGGGGGTGATGTCCCTGAATGTGGTAGACACGTTCTGTGCTTAACCACATTGCATACATCTAACCACATCTCCTGGCCCCTGATTATTTTGTGTTCATGTTCTGTATTTGTGAAAAAGACTGTTCATACTATGAATCTTCCCAGCATGTTTGAATAATAACATATTATCTACCTTGAAGATTTATTCCAGATAATGTTACATTTGATGATAAGCCAAAGGACACAGCCTCAGAAGTGAATGTATCTGGATATAAGCCAAAGTACTTCACATCTGCTGCAATGGGAACATCAAAGGTATCTTTACAATGTTTTCATAATGTTTTTCTAATTTGTTTTATTGCCAGCTTACAAATGATAGAAGTAGTAAAAATGATAGAAGGAAAACCTTCCTGTTTTTGTTCACCACTTCAAAATAGAGACATCAAACATACTACAAGATGTAAGCACGTTACAGAGTCCCAAGTTGTGACCCCATAAATAAGCTTCTTTGTTAAAAACTGAAGAAGACTGCATTTTTTACTTCATTTTATGTCTGTTTCAAGTTACACGTGGACTTACTTTGTTATCTACAACTAAATCACGTAATTTGCTGAAAATAGTTGTTTGTGTGCAGTTCAACAAGAATGTTTTTAGTGGTAGTGTCAGGCTTACACAATTGCTTCCCCTCCTTATAGTGATCCACTCTTACTCAGACTTATGTGAGAGCCAAAACGTTCATCTGGCCATGAAATGAACTATATTGGAGAATTGATTAGATGAGAACCAAGTTGTTTTGATGGGATGGTTTGTCAGATTAGTTTCATTTTCTAGCTGAGGCTGCAGTTGTGCAAACACTTTTCTTGTCCCTGTTGCAATCCATGTGTGATTCCAGGATCCTCTAGAGCTGGAGGAGGAAAGTTGGCGACCACTGCTTCAATTCCAGTATCTGCTGCCACAAAGGAAATTTGGCTTACGGAGATTTAGTGTTGTGTGACAGGATGTTATGGAACCCTTAAATGCAATAGGAAAATTCTTCATTCTTTCATGTAGTTAAAACTCCTTGAAATGCTTTTTTGAAGAAGAAATCAAAATTGTAATTCAATTGATTTTAATAAATGATTATTTTAGGAAATCGTTGTGGAGAATACTAGCAACACATTTATATTATCTATACCACTTAGGAAGCAATTTTCTTTTAAAAGTGCTTTAGAATGTTTAATTTTAACAGATTGGCTTCTACAAGCAGCTATCCTATTTTTAAGGTAGATATCACATGGGATGAAACAGATCATGAACGAGTAATGTCACTTAGCAGAACTTTTAATAAAGAGGAACTTCTGGACATGGATTTTCAAGCTTATTTGGCTTCATCTAGTGAAGAAGAGGAGGAAGAGCAGCAAGGTACCTTCATTAATAAATGTTGAGCACAAAGTCGTTAGCTACAGCACTTTAAATGTGAGTCAAATGTACAAATTCCATATAATTAGAAAATACTTGAATGTTTCCTTTTGCAGTGACAATATTATACTCCTTATTGAAAAGCTGTGGTCAGGTTCTTCCCAGAGCTAAATGTCTCTGGATGTGGCACATACTTACTCCTTTGGGTGTGTGACTTTGAGATGGATGGACATCAGTGGTGAGCTTGATGGTAGCTGTGGTTCACTCTTTTCAATTAGGAAATGCATGGAGTGATGATACAATGCTGACAGATAATGAAAGAAAAATTTCAGCTAGGCCTGACGACACGGAAGCTGTGGAGTTTCTCAGATTTACTTTTTCCCTTTTTCTCTCTCTTTTTTTTTTTTTTCTTTTTGAGTTAAATACAGATTTCAGAAACAAACTTCTGCAGTGTTTTGCGTATGTAGCAAGAAAACGTATGTTGAACTTTCTAAAACATCTCTGAAGCCACAGTTGAGATGAATTATTTAGGCCTATTTCTGATTCTTGAAATAAATAATGTCACTGGTATAACCTCAAAATGGCCAAATTCTTTTTGAAGACAAAGTAAACAATTCTGCTGTGGAACTGAGAAAGTCTATTATCTGATGTTGGAAGTGCATTAGGGAGACAGGGTGACTGAATTTTATTTTCTTTACCCTTGCTTTGAAAGAGATTCCTGCTGTTGTGTTTTCCATTTGTCATGCAAGGTCTGTTTACCTGGTATAATTAAATTTTAATTAAGCCAAGTATAATGATTATAATTTGAGTGATTTCAAGTAGCAAGATCACAGTTCATCTAAATTGCAGCTCACTTTCTTTATTGCTGATCTGATGATTCTGCTACAGAAAAGATGCTTTTTATTATACATTTGACTGATTTTTTCTAGAGATTGTGGTGGCTATCCAGTTCATTCTGAGTGAAAAACATCAGAACATTTTCTTGTGGCTATTTTTTTTACTGTTCAGAAAGTCTGAAAAATCTGTTGGCAAAAATCATTACTGTCTTAACGTCCACCAGAAGGTGGCTCACTTTCCTTTTCTTGCAGCTGCTGTCAAATGTTCTTCATTTGCTCATGGAGTGAAAAGACTCAAAGTTTTTTGAGATGATGAGTATTTTGAGTATGGCAATACGTGTCACTGCTTAAATTCCTCCCAGCAAAATTAGCAAGACAGTAAAACATACAAATTTGCATTCCCTTCATTATCCAGTATCACAGAATCATTCCGGTTGGAGAAGAACACTAAGATCATCCAGTCCAACCAGCAGCTCACCCCCTCCATGCCCACTGACAGAGGTTTTAGAACACCTCCAAGGACAGCGACTCCACCACCTCCCTGGGCAGCTGTGCCAGTGCTTTTTAAAAGTTTACTGCAGGTCATATTGTAATTGTTTTGTTTTGGTGGTGATGATAGGACAGATCAACAACTTTTCTCAGATTTTTTTTTTTTTGTCATCTAAGTACAGGAATTCTAAACTTGGTTACTTTTTCTGGGAATGATACAGGAAAATGCCTGGGATTACTTTATTTATTGCCTTAGGTGCATTTCCTAACTGTGAAATTCAACTGACCACTTTGAGGCTGTCTTTCATACCTTTCTTCATCTTTTTAGGGGAAGGTGTAGCTCATGAAATGGAAGATGACAAACCCAGGAAGAGCCAAAAAGATGATGAAGAGCAAATTGCCAAGTATAGAGAAATTTTGCAAAGCATCCAAGAAAAAGAGAAAAAGCAGGAAGAAAAGGATATAGAAATGGAGATTAAATGGGTTCCAGGTAGGCTTTAATGTTTTCTTTTGACAGTACGTATGAGCCCTGGAACCTGTTAGATTCGTTTGCAAGTTGATTTGATTTGCTGTAATAGCAGAAGTGCTCTAGAAAAGAAGAGAGGCTATTCTCTTGGTTAGACAGTCAGACAAATAGGAGCATTTGGTGACTGTTCAAAGGATTTCATTGCAGAGAAAGACTGGGAAGGTGTGACTTGTCCATTTTGGGGGCAGCAGGTGTTGCATTGCTTTGGGAGTGTAAGACTGCAGGCTGATACAAGGACACAGCCTGATCTGCTATTGTAACCAGTGAGACCAGAGCTGTGGTAGAATGCAGCCTCTTCTCCACTGGTGTGCAATTTCCATTTGGGAATGTGAATCTCAGTTGTACTATTAATTTTGAATTAACTTGGGCAACTTTTGCTTTATACAAATTCTCCTTTTTAAAGTTCTTATTCTGTGTATGTGCAAATTTGGTGAAATCAATCAAACTGAATGAATTTGTCCTACCTAGTTCTTCATAAGACTTTGATTTGAAAACATGCATTGCATTAAAATAGTTATGACCTTTAGTTGTATAATTTGAATAACTTCTGATGAGCATTCTGCCAGCACACTTTAGAGAAGGCAATTAATATGTGTTATAGGACAAGTGCATACTAGCAAAGCCCATCAACTTGTCTTACTTCAAATGCCCACAGCGTGTCAGTATTTCCATTGCTGGAGTTGCTCTGTTAATACCTTTTAATTCTTAGTATTACTGAGCATTGGAGGCAGCAGAGTTTTCTATTATAAGATTTTGCAAAGATATTCAGTTGCAGCATGTCATGCAGAAGCTGGAAACCACAATGGAAACATTTATGCTAGGAATATGTTGTGTTTACATGTGTCAGGCATTATTCAATATTGGACAAGAGCATTCAGATTTTGGAAACCTCAGTTTAGTCTGTGGTACTGGTGCTTGGCTGCCTTGCCTTTCCTGGCTCTTGCATCTGTCAGTCTACTTCAAAACTCCTGCTTATATTCAACCTCCTGGCAAAATTTAGTCTTCATTGATTTCAAGCAACATTTGTAGAGAAGGTGCAGCGCTACTGAAGGAGAGGATTTTTGAGGGTGGAATGTAGTCACTGCGTGCTGAGCAGCACTTTATAGTTCTGGCAATACACACAGCTGAGGTTAAGCTTTCCTAGGGGACAGAAGTACATTAGTTATTATCTTGTTTCTCCTTGATCAAATGTGCTTATTGAAATTCCAAACGAATTATGTTCCTCTTGGAGTAGTCTGGGAATTCAAAAATAGTTTCTGTGTTCATCTCTTAAGACTCCTTAAATTAGTTCTAGGGAAGTTCTGTCTGTTGGAATATTTTTATTATCAAACTTTGCCGGGTTCTGATTGACTGACTGCAAAATCACTTTGCTGCCAATACATTTAATAGAGAGAGAGCTACAACAGTTGAACTGAAGGGTGTTTTCAATAGATATGCAGACTTGAATTCATTTCAAAATTTGAGTTTGGGCACCAATATATTTACTCATGGTTATAGAAGACATACTGTGCAAGTTATTCCGTTATTCTTGAATCGTAATAGCATTAAATAAAGCATAGTGCCAGCAAAAACAAATTAGGTGCAGTTCCAACTTTCTTTGGTCTATTTCTTTTAGGTACAAAATCAGTGTTATATTTAGCCACCCATCTGCTTTCTTAATCATATCTCATTTGAGAAACAATCGCTATGCATCCATATCCAGCTCCTAAAGCTCCCTTTAGAAGGCGAAGAAGAGGAAGGCCACAATTGCCATTCTTAATGATATTCAGGCAGGTTTTCATACAGTTTTTTTTTATTGGACCTGAAAATGTTTAGCTAGGATTAAAGAAACTTTGACGTTTGCTTTCAAGAGAGCAGGGTAAGGTGCTACATGTAAGATGAACTTGCTCAGTTAGATTTCCTGAGATTTGAGAAGCATCTTTCTAGCTCTTTACAGCTTGCAACTCTCATAATTATTAAATTTTTGGAAGTTTCCAAAATAACTGTTTGGAGAAACAAATTCTGTCCCACCCATCCTCCCTCTCCATTCCTGCAGTGTGCAAAGCAATATAGTTACGTTTGCTGTAGTATTATCACTTCTGATCATTTACTTCAAGTGTGATCTAGTGTGCTAACATGTATTACCTTTCTACCCTCTTTTCATGACCACTGTTTGTAAAGATTAAGTGAGAATAGTGATTCATTTATTCAAAAATATAAATAATGTAGATTAGGGATAAATTAACATTTTCTATGACCAGTTAATAATTCTACCTACAGTAAACAATTCCTTTCCACTTCTGCAATCAAAAGTCTTTTGGCCACTTAAATACACGCTGATTCTCAGGAAGTGAGCAGTCGTTTTTTCCCCAAAGTTACTGAAAAATAATCCAAAGTAATAGTGGTTAGTTTCTGGGAAGCACGTGGCTCCATTTTTATTGATTCTGGAGATCAAGATCTGTACTATTGAAAAACACTAAATTATGGTTCTGTTTGCACCTGGGTTTCTTCCTGACTTTTTAAAATTGAAAGTCATTGTTTATTCTGGGTATAAATATTATAGCTATAAAATAGGAACAGTGAAGAGATTCTTTTTTTGAGGTGACATTTCTATGCACCATTGAATGATGCACGTTATAGGAAGCTCCATTCTGTTTCCAGAGCAGGATCCAATTACGTTTGGTAATTTGGCCTTATTGTCCAGTTCATAACATGTGTTCAGGAACTTGGTTGTACACTGAATGGTGACACAAAATATTTAGGAGCTACTAGGGTTATAATCCTATGGAAAAGATAAAACATGATCTTATATATAAAAATGATCTTATTTATAAAGATGTTGCTCCAACCAATACTTGTATTGTTTTCATGGACTTTTTAAAGAAAAATTAAGGAAAAAAGAAAACGTTTGAATTGATCTCATTTTTTTAACTTGCTATTTTTTGTTCTAGGCCTGAAAGAAACTGCTGAAGAAATGGTCAAAAATAGGTTGGAAGGAAAGGATAACCTCACTCCATGGCAAAAATACCTGGAGAAGAAGAAAGAAAAAAGAAATCTTAAAAAAAAGAGGAAGGTAATGTCTGCTGTGGTCAGATGCTGGCGGAGCTGCTGTTTGTTTGTTCTTCTTAAGTCGCAGCTCTTGTTTTGTATTAAAAAAAAGGAAAAAAAGAGTTACATAATGTACAGTACTGTTTTAAGGTTTGAATGTGGAGTGGTCACTCATTTGGGAAGGTTAGAGTGCCTCATGAAGTCTGCAGAGCTGTGGGATGTTCAGCATAACACTGATACAATTTCATTAATCTGTCTGATTTCTAACATGTCACTTTTCAATGCATTCATGTCTTTTTTCAACACATTGATGTCTTTTTGTCACAGTATGTTTGTGGGGGAAAGTAGTTAGAATACACAGTGGTTGTAATTTTAGACCTTTTCAGCCTAAAATAAAACAGATGCTTGTTGCTGAAACAGCAAAGAATGGATAGCCTTGAAGAACTATTCAACTTTGAAATTGCAAAAGCAAATTTGGTAAATATGTCTGTATAGGAAGAGCCTTTTTGCAATGTGAAAATTGCTGTTGCTTTCTTTTCACACGTGGGAGGTAACTGTGTGGTAACTGCAGTGGCAGAGATGTGCAGGAATAGGCAGATAAATGAAATGTTTGTTCTATTACTAGATGTAGCTAGGTTGTAATTGTTGTCTTTGTAGCAAGTAAGAGCAATCAGGTAGTGTTTATGCAGCTAGAACTACATCCTGTGCAAGTATTTGGTGGTATGGTTGGCCTACTACAGTGCAGTCCGTGGCTGCAGCTGATGGAGTTCCTTGGTCTGTGTAAACTGTTCTTCTTCAGGTAAAAGGACAGCTTTCATTCTGTGGTGCGGGCTTTAAATTGTGAATTTGTCTACTAGCAGTTTTCAGTCAGTTCTAGTTAGGTGATGATTCAGCACAAAGTATTTTGGTTTTTCTCGTTTCTGGCAGAAGGAACGTTTAATTGCAGCGAATTTTTAGAAGTTGATATGATGGTTGAAATAATGCTTGTGTTTTGTTACAGGCTACTGCTGAGAGAGAAATGAGCGAAGATGAGATTCCCTCTGATGTTGATCTCAGTGATCCATATTTTGCTGAGGAACTTGGAAAAACAGGTGAGTTAAGACAAGTAACTTCTGGAATAAACGTGCCTTTTTCTTTACATAATGAACCAAAGAAAGGCAGAGGTGGCATGTTCAGAGTGAACTTTTCCAATTCAGATTTTTGGGATATCTTTTTTTTTTTTTTTTTTGTGGTGTTTTAGTTAGCTGTCAGTTTGATGACAAATTTATTCTGAGTATGATTTTGGGGGTTAGAATTTGAAGGTCAGGATAATCAAGATGTGCAGATTCCTGGCTTTTCATGCTTTTGGAAGCCAAAACCTAGGAGTGATTCCTACAACACCGTATTAAGAATGTTAGCAACAGATTTTCACATGCCACAAGTCAAGAGTAAGCATCCTTTAATCTGACACCAACCACCACAGTCTTGTGTCTTCAGAGTTAGAAGTTTATGTTAGGAGAAAGTAAATAACTCAAAAACAAAAGGAAAGAAAGATGCCACTTCCTCCAGCACCTTCTTGTTTTTCATTAGCAAGAATATGTAGGTACTCTCATACTAATATTTGCTGTGTCAATGTTGAATCCAAAGTCTCCAAGGCAGCACACTTCTGCCGTATGTAAGAAGTTCTGTGTGTCATTGAGGGGCTTACTGACTGTAACACGTGAATGTAAGTTCACTTTTGATAAGCCGAGGCATTTTAAGGGGAGCAGGACTGTAAGGAGGTGTTGGACACCGGCTCTCAGTTCTTGTATTCTGTGAAGCACTATGAAAGCAGAACTTAAAGTTCTGTGAAGTCTGCTTGAGTGTGTGTTTGTCAGGTTTGTCTTTGTTCCTGAAACCTGTTAGCAAAGCAAGCAACGATTCTCACAGGGAGCAATGCTTCAGCTCAGGAGGAGGTGAGGGAGGCTGAGGGAGTTGGGCTTGTTCAGCCTGGAGAAGAGAAGGCTGCGGGGTGACCTCATTGCAGCCTATCAATACCTGAAGGGAACCTACACCCAGGAGGGGAGTAAACTCTTCAAAAGGCCTGACCAGGCAGGACTAGGGGAAATGGTTTTAAGTTGAAGGAGGAAAGATTTAGGTTGGATGTTAGGGGGAAGTTCTTTACTAGGAGAGTGGTTAGGCCCTGGAACGGGCTGCCCAGGGAGGTTGTGGATGCCCCGTCCTTGGACGTGTTTAAGGCCAGGTTGGACGGGGTCCTGGGCAACCTGATCTGAATGTGTATGTTTGGTGGCCCTGCTAGGCAGGGGGGTTGGAACTACATGATCCTTGGGGTCCCTTCCAACCCGGGTGATTCTGTGATTCTGTGAGGTGCAAAGTGAAACAGCTTCTTTGTGCCTGCTATGCCCAAAAAGTATCCATGCAGGATATAGGCATATGCAAATTAGCACATCCAAAATTCATGACAGTCCTTGCTAATATAATAGTACACATAATGGCTGTGCACACAGTACCATGGACCAAGATGTAAAGTGCTGCATATGAGCCCAGATGTTGTATTTCATTTATTTTGGTTAGATATTGTCAGGGGGGGGACAAGTACTTGTCACTTTTGTTTTATGTTAATACATATTGTTTTTAAAAGCATTACAGATCTCTAATTTGACTTGTCCACTTTCAATCCTAGCTTGTTCTTTTCTGTGGAGTCTCAGTAAAGGCTCACCTAAGGCAATTTTTCTTTCTTTTAGCTTAAACTGCTGTGAGGTGTATAGCTGCACAGTGTAATTGCTTATTAACAGGATATCTTCCAGTTCAGGATATTCTATGTGATGTGTTTGCAAAAGGAGGGAGGGATGGACTTCCAGAATGCATTTGAGGACAGGGGTTACGTCAGGAGTATGTTAAAAAGATCAATGATGCCTTTGTGAATTCTGAAACCAAACTATGATGCAAAGCTTTTAGTGCTGAGAGTAATTACAACCTTTAGCTGGGTAAGGTCATAGAAAGAAATGAATTAATTTGTCTCTATGGGAAACACCTTACTTCAAAACTGGCTCCTGATTCATCCCCATCTGCAAGAACACATGTTTTTCAAGACTTGAGGATAAACTCTTTCGTGATTATACTTGTAATGAAAGATGAGGGAAGATAATTGGAGGGGACTTCTTTGAGGTACAGGTAGAAAGGCTGATTGTAGGATAACTGCTATCACTTGGCATCCCCTTGTTTACATTTCTATCATGTTGGCAGTTCTGCAAAGATAAGAATGATTTCAAAGCTACCAAAGTGTTTATTTTTTCCTGCCACATAACAATATAGTATCTGAATCTGATTTTCTTGCACACTTTCTAGAACTAATAAATCAACAATTCAGTTCTTGGGCTTTATCATAGTACTTTATCACAAGAACATTCAGTCTGAACAGTCAATCCTATTTTCATCCCCGTGGTTCTGTGAAGAGTCTTTTTTGCATTGTATTCCTAGCACCTGCACGGCTAATAGCACAGCATAGCTTTAAGCTTACACATAAATTTCAAAACCAACTTGCGTGGGGCTTTTGTACTTAACTAATATATTTTATCTTGCTCAGCAGGCAGATTTGGCCTTCTGTTTTAATTGTTCTTGTTTGATCATTTCTTCTTAACATTGCTGTCTTCTTGAATGGTGGAAATACCCAGTAGACTTTTATACTCAGTTTTCCAAATCTTACACTGAAGTAAGAGAATGAGACTGAAATTTGAGGTTCTGTTGATAGATCATTTATGCTCTCATGCATAAACTTGAATAAGCATGTGAATGCCCTATTTTTGCCCATAGGTTTAAAGAAGAAGGCAGAGTTGGTTGAAAGTAACTCAGAAGATGAAGCTGAAGTTGAAAAACAGAAGGTAAAGTGGTTTAAAGTGCACAGGTTTACACATGTTGCAGTGCCTGAATTCTGCAACTATATAATGTATGTATTTGTGAATGGAACTACCCAGTCTTCTGACACCATATGACTTTAATGGCAAGAGCTTTTGGAATAAAACCACCAAGGAGAATGGTACTTGGTCACTGACTTGAGATATTAAGATTACACCAGGATCTCTTTCTGGAAGATTATAATTGAACACAGCTCAACAGGGTCAAATTATACTGAAGTGTAAGGGCATGGAAACCATACTGGCTGGTTAGTCTCTCTAGCTTTAAAGCATGTCCTGTAGACTTTTAACTTTCATTCATTCTTTCCCAAAATGAAAAAATAAATCCATTTACTAAGTTAGCCTACGTTAGTTATCATTTTGTGATTTGAAAACAAATATAAAATAGTATCAATGCATTATTTCTATGTTATAGTGTACAATTCTCAAATCAGTTTATCAGTATGTTAAAAAATATAAATGTGTATCTGCAGTTATTCAATAAAAGATAAAAATTAACTGTTATATTTAATATTGCACCTCAAAAACATTAATGTCATTATATTTGCAATAATACTGCACTGATAACACTATTTCAACTCGTTTATGTACAGCTATACAGACTTGATCAACATGGTTGTTATATTTTTCATAGAAAACTTTTATTGTGTACTTCAACTCTTATTTTGTGACAGGCTGAAATGGCTCTACTTATGATGGATGATGAGGACGATGGCAGAAAGCATTTTAATTATAAACAGATTGTGGAACAGCAGAACTTGAGCAAGAAGAAAAAGAAACTCTTAATGAAAAAGAAGGAATTACTAGAAGATGACTTCCAGGTAATGATGTGCTTTTGATTTTGGGATTTGAATAGATAAGCTTAGATACTAAACTGTTAGTATCAACTAATTGGGGAAAAGAAACTTTACAGTCCCATACCCTTCTTTCTTGCTCTAAGTTGAAGAACTTGTGTCTTCCCTTTTAGGGAGTTACAGGCTCTTTTCACATGGATTTGTGTAAGATAAAGCAGTATGCAAGGCCTTGTAAGATACGACAGATACAGCCTCGTAAAACTCATTGCTACCTTTGTTCTGATGATAAGCCACTGCATCTTTCATTCTGGCCAGTTCTTAACAAGAAACCTGTCCTTTGTTTGCTGATAGAGACACGTGCAGCACTTGGACGTGCATTCACTCATCTGTTCTACTAATATTATCTTTTGATTCTCTACTCCGCGCTTGATGAATACCTACGATTTGAGCAGCTGCAGGGATGGTGAACAATCTCATAATAAGAGCTGTTACTCCTTATGCAGCTCGTGTTTTATTGTATTTAAAAGCTTTGCTATCATGGGTAAAGGTTACCCAAAATAAATATTATTTTTCTGCCTTCAGGTAAACGTTGCTGATACGAGGTTCCAAGCCATGTTTACATCCCCCTTATTTAACGTGGATCCTTCTGATCCAAATTTCAAGAAGACAAAAGCAGTAGAAAGGATCTTGGAAGAGAAAGCTCGCCGAAGAGAGCAAAAGCAGCAAGATCTTCACGAGGCAAGCAAGGAATGGGAGAACAAGGTGGCAAAGAAAGAGACTAAGAAATCCATAGATCCTGCCTTGTCAATGTTAGTAAAATCTGTCAAAAACAAAACTGAACAGTTTCAGGCAAGGAAAAGACAGAAAATCAAATAACTGATCTTTGTTTCTGACTCTGACTTTTCTTTCCTAACATCTGTTGAAGTTGCTATATCTGCTTTAATTCCTATCCCCCTAAAATTTTCAGAAAGGTCATTGAATTCTAGTGGCAAGTTTTAAAGTGAGGACAACAACAAAAGCCCTTTCCGTCTTGCCCCAAAATGTTTTCTACTGTTGAAAAAACACATCACCAAACAACATGTTTCCATAGCATGCAGTGTCTTAAAGGTAACAGAAGTAGTGAGGATATCTACAGAAATTAGCCACAATTACAGCTGTATTTAAAAGTAAGAAAAACACTTCTGCAGAGAGTTGAGAGCTGAGACTAATCGGTCTTAGTGTCATTAATTCTGAAGAAGTCTATAGATACAGTCACTGATTAAAAAAAGGTTTTAATATAAATACCAATTGAAGAAGTTCTATATACATCCCTTTTGTGTATTTTAATGACCTCTTTTGTATATTTTATATGATTATATACATGCTACATGACTAATTTCTCTTCAGAATTTCCTGGATCTAGTTAAAATTAATTAATGGGGGAAAAAAACACCATTTGGAAGAATGTCATTTTTATGTATCAGAAATAAATGATTGAAAATTTGCCCTAAGGAATTTTGGTAGTTACTTAACTGTGTTGTTTTTTTTCTTTTGTGCTTAAGTAGGAGAGCAGATTTATACAATAGAATACCAAAGAATACTTACAGACCTAGAGAATTAAGTGTTGTTGCTCTTCCCACCCACCTGAACATCCTCAGGCTGACGTTTCAAGTGAGTTGATTATATATAAAGAAAGAACACATCTCTAAAAATGCAAGTGTTTTATATAGTGACACAAAATAGCTTGATTCAGCTATTGGAGCAAGAGAGCAAACAAAATACTAAATATTCAGCAAATTCTGTATTAAATGTTAATGCTTTGTATTTGTTAGCATTTTACATTTCCTTGGACATGGAGAGAGATTCTCTAAACCTGAGTTTGGAGTCTTTCCATGCATTCTTCAGTGCTTTAACTTAAACCCCGATTTTTCCCACTTAGGAAGGACTTAAATTTCAGAGATGATCAAATTTTAGAATGCAGATGTTGGATGATTTCATTTTTTGGAAATATCTGTGTCACCATAAATCTGGGAAAGTGGGCTCTGGGGTAAATGAGCAAAGGAGCTCCTGTTTAACATCTCTGAGGCACGTTGAGAGAAAAGCAGCATATCCTACCACTTCTCCTTTCATCCGCTTTGAAATGGCTCACACTGCTTTCACAGCAGAGGAGGAAGGTCACGAGGGTCGAGGTCAAACCCAGATCAAGGTCAAAACATTGAATGCCATGGGGTCATAGTCAAAAAGTCATGGAGTCACAGCCAATGGACAAAAGGTCAAAGGTTGCATCATCTAGCTCAAAGGTTATGGGGAGCTGCGTGAGGTGGTGTTATGTTGGAGAGGGCAGAGCACTGCGTGGGTGGGTGGATGTTATGTAGATAGGGTGAGGAGCATACGGGGGGCATCATATTGGAGTGTGTAAGCAAGGGTGTTGGGAAGGTAAGCAGTAAACTGTGAAAGGTTATATGGTGGAGACAAGCAATATATGAGGTGGCATTGTGTACTGGGGGTGGCAATACATACAGGGAAGCATTATGTGCGATGAGAGGGCAAGCAGTGTACTAGAGGACATTATCTGGGAGGTGGAACAAGCACTATGTTGGGGCATTACATAGGGAATGGAACACTCTATGGGGGGACATCATATAGAATGCAAGGTGAGCACTATACATGGGGATGTCATATAGAGAAACAAGAACTATACAGGGGCATTATATCGGGAGCAGCAAGCACTATACTAGGGTTGTTGTATAGGGTGGGTAGAGAGCACCATATGGGGGCATATTATATAGGGGTGGTGAGCACTGTACGAAGGGGCCATGATCATCCAGCCCGACCCCAGCCCACCCTCACCATTCATGTACCTCAGTGCCACATCTCCATGGCTCTGGGACACCTCCAGGTGACCCCACCACTCCCTGGGCAGCTGTGCCACTGCCTCACTGCTCTCTGGGAGAAGGAATTGTTCCTAGCAGCCAACCTGAACCTTCCCCCCAGCCCAACTTAAAGCCTTTATCTTTTATTCACCTGGGACCAGTGCTTGGTTGAAGTTCATCCCATTGGCCTCACCCCGCCTTTGATCCAGGCTTCCAGATCCCTCTGTAGGGCCTTCTTACTCTCAGGCAGATCAACATTTCCTCCCAACATGGTGTCATCTGCAAACTTGCTGGGGGTGCACTCAAATGATCAAACATGGAGTACTTTGCATACATAAAAATGTCACATCTTATTCAGGCCTCAGAATGTATATTGAAACATGTCAGGTCACTTGACAGGAGAAGAAACAGCAAATAAAGAGCAGCTACCACAAACTTGGATTCTAAATTCCAAGTACAAAGACAAACAGCTAAGTCTATGAGCACAAATTTATTTCTAATCTCACAGGTTAATGCTGAAAAGATGAATGCAGCAAGGTTTAAAATATTCATTTGAAAGTAGATATCACTGCTCTTGCAGGGAAAGGTTTGTTGAGACTACCAAGTTCTTTTCAAAATCAAACAAAACTTCATAAAATCAGTTTAAATTTGAAACAAAGCCAAGAAGGAGCATGATGCCAATGCAAGGCAACCTTGTTCTGCATAAGGGATGGCACTGTGAGCACATGGCTGCTGGTTATCACTACTACCTGGATGCAGGCTTATCCAGGTGCATCTACATGTCAAACAAAAAAAGAAGCATGCTACTGTTCCTATGCAAGCCCAAGCATTTTGAAAATCGGCGACAGATCTTATGTCAGGGAGACATTGAAAGTAATTGACAGATACTGTGTGAAAGAGTTCCTGACTATTGTGAATTTCAAAGTCAAAGGAAGAAGTAAAGCTTTTTCTACACGTTTGTAAGTTGTAAGATGCCTCTCAGATTCTGCAGATTAAAATAAAATCTTCTTAAGTGGCTGTCAGACTACAACCTACACTACGACACTTCTTCTAATTCCATGTCATGTTTTGTTCTAAAGCAGCAGCATGGCTTTAGAGTCCAGCCTCTGTTTGCCAAGCCATGAGAGCGTGGATAGGCCTTAACAACCCTGTGAAAACTGGCAATTAGAACCGAGAATTACACCTACACATTTCCAAACTGTATGTCCTGGAGTGCTTCAGAGAGTATTTCAAACTAAGTCCTAAGACAGGCCAATTTTAAGTAATATGTAAGCAAATTCTTATTTAAGACAATGGAGTTGCGTTCTTTTGCAATGTATTTATTGATGGCCCCAGGAGTGCTAACACAGGAAAAGGACATTTTCATAGAGCTGTGGTCCAGAGAAAGTTTGCACATGATGAGGAGGTACAGTACATGGCATCATCTAGAGAAAACGCGCTGCCATGTTAAATCTGACAAAACCTGTGCAGAGGAACACCCACCATTAAATCCAATACCAAAAAACACATTCATCCCAAAACACATCATAAGATCATCACATAATCAACACCTTCCTTTGGACAAGCAATCCTTTTTGCAAAACATACAACATTTCTTTGCATTCAGCAAAACTAAGGGTTGTCTTGAAAAGGTGGCAAGGCCGTGGCGTGAAAGTAAGAGACTGACCCTAGAGAATGACCAGAGCCAACTCATCCCCCAGCTTTGTCCAGACCCTCATCCTGGCTGGTACACATTCCTGTGGGAACAACAATCAGTACCATGTTATGACTCCAAGGTCCTTTCTCTGATGTCCTCTGCTGTTTAAGAGATGAGGAAGAGATGTTGAGGAAATAGGCTGAACATGCCAAATGAATCAACATCTTGCTAGAAGTCTTGGCATCTTGAGCTCTTATCTTTAGACTGAGAAGACAAGTAGCACATGAACTAAGATTTCATTAAAGCTTTGTCATAGACAAAACAATCCTCATGTAACCTTGGATAAATCAGCAATTGGTCACATTTTAAGGTCTCCCTCTGAACCACTGCCATAATATACACACGACCTTCATCACAGTAAGCTAACATCAGTGTTCTTCCTTATTTTCCTCTGGTGTATATCTAGCTGTTGTGCTGTAGGGTCCAGCTTTCAGTGCCCCTCATGCCTTTTCCCATCTCCATGAGAGCACTGTTTGTCTGGGTTCAGTGCCTTTAAGTCCTTCTTGGCATAACAGCAGAGAGTGACAAGGTGATAATTCTCTTCCCACAATTTAAAACAAACAACCCCAAAACAATAACCATGCTACTTCATACCACCTGGCAGTAAGAGTGTCTCCCATCTGTGCAACAATTCTAAATGAAATGTAGTGTAGTTTTCAAGTACACTTGGATAACATCACCTTCCACTTTATTCTTCATTCAAATCTGCATCACAGCTATAATCTGGCAGCAACCTCCTCTCTAAGAGGAAACAGCAGTTGAACAATTAAATGTGAAAATTCTATGAATCACAGTAGATGAGCCACGTGAACATGGAATTATTTTTTTTTCCCCCCACTGCTTTGTGGTCTCTCCATCATAAGACTGGTTTCACAAGGAAAGTTTGCTCCTCCAACTTTCCTTTTACACACGCACAGACCATGGCTTAAAGGTCCCTGGCTCAGCAGAAGGGCACTGTAAAGAGGAGAAAAAAATTACTGTAAGCAGCAACAAGAACAAAGGAGGGGGTTCTGATCTGGGTTCAGAGGTTCCCTTTGAGGCAGGTGATTTTGCATCACTGAAGATCTGAGCTCATATAGAAACAGAGACATCTGCCTCATGGCATTGCATTAGACTTTGTGCCTGGCTTCAGCTGAAGGCCAGGCTGTCAGTGCTTCGTGCAGACTCTCAAATTCACTTTGGTGGCCTCCTCCCCATCAGACAGTGATGCAGGTGTTTGGTGAGGACGACTTTTGCTGTTAACAATAGTAGGGTTCAAGCTGACAAGGCCCTTGTGGATGCCCATGTGAACAGACAGCAAAGTTTCACAAGTCACAGCAGAACTCTGTGCAGGGATCCACTCTGCATGGCCCTGTCACAGCACTGCGACAGAGAAGGAGCATCCACGAAGAGATGGCAGCAGTGTTAAATCCTGCACTCCTTCAGAGCAAGCCCAGACCTTATAATGAGAAACCTGAGATCATAACATTCTGCACAAGTGAGCATTTCCAGTAACACTTTCTCTTCCTATCCAAAGGAGGCTAATAAATCAGAGTGGGCCTGCACTGTAGAATCCCTAAGAGATAACAGTCAGGAGCAACAGATCAAGCAGAGCCTTCGTTCTACAAACTGCATTTGAAGGATGGAGGGATGAAACGCTGTTTCAGAGACACTGCCCGTCCTAGCGCTAGCAACGCCAGTCTGTACATTTGTCTCTCATCTGATGGTACATTAAGTGAAGGATAAGGCCCATGAAATAAAAACCTGCTGCTTAAGTACAATTCCCCATCCTGCCCTAATCGCAGCTCTGGGATCTAGCACACAGCGTGGGGTAGACTGGTCAGGGCTATGAAAGCATAGTTACCATTTTCGTGAAGGTGTCCACACAGGCATTGCGGATCCTCTCTGGGGTGGCA